ATGATGGTGTCCGGACGTCCGACCAGGAGGATTTCATGACGCGGAATGGCCTCAACCTTCGGTCGTTCCAGAAGCGCGACATTGGTGGGGGCTCCATCGACTCGCTCGACCGCTCCATGTCGACGCGCCACATGCACATGATCTCGATCGGTGGTTCTATCGGTGCTGGTTTCTTCGTCGGCTCCGGCAAGGCCCTTGCCGACGGCGGTCCCGGCTCGCTCTTCATTGACTTCCTCATTATCGGAGTCATGATGTTCAACACTGTCTACGCTCTCGGCGAACTCGCCGTCATGTACCCGGTCTCTGGTGGCTTCTACACATACTCAACTCGCTTCATCGATCCTTCTTGGGGTTTTGCCATGGGCTGGAACTATGTCATGCAATGGGCCGTCGTCGTACCGTTAGAACTCACAGTGTGTTTAATGACGGTAGCATACTGGGACTCTGAAATCAAACTCGAAAAGTAGGCGTCCGCCAAAAAAATACCCGAGTCGTTCTGGTGCTGACTTCCAACTCTCCAGCTGTCTGGATCACCGTCTTCTTCGTCGCCATTCTCTTCATCAACATCTTTGGTGCGCTCGGCTACGCTGAAGAGGAATTCTGGTCGTCGGTACTCAAGCTCGGAGCGATCGTCGTCTTCATGATCATTGCCTTCGTCCTCGTCCTCGGCGGCGGCCCCGCCGGCAGCAAGTATGACTCGTACGTCGGCGCGCGTACCTGGTACGAGCCCGGTGCCTTTGCCCACGGCTTCCGCGGTTTCTGCAGTGTTTTTGTCACGGCCGCTTTCTCTTTCTCCGGAACCGAGCTCGTCGGTCTCGCCGCAGCTGAGGGCCAAGAACCCCCTCAAGTCGCTCCCCGGTGCCATCAAGCAGGTCTTCTGGCGTATCACCCTCTTCTACATCCTGGGCCTGTTCTTCGTCGGCCTCCTGATCCCGCACGACGATCCGAGCCTTCTGGGTTCCGAAGAACTCCAACCCCTATGCCGATGTCGCCGCCTCGCCTTTTGTGCTCGTGGGCAAGTCACGCTAACCTCAACGGCTACGACTCGTTCATGAACGTTATCATCCTGGTTTCGGTCCTGTCCATCGGCGTGTCCGCCGTCTACGGCGGCTCCCGCACGCTCACCGCTCTCTCCCAGCAGGGCTACGCCCCTAGGATCTTCTCGTACATTGACCGCTCCGGCCGCCCGCTCATCTCGGTCGTCGCCATCTGCGCCTTCGCCCCGCTGGCGTATGTCAACCTCCACGCTGATGGGCCGACCGTGTTTGACTGGCTGCTCGCCTTGTCGGGTCTCGCCGCCCTCTTCACCTGGGGCTCCATCTGCCTGGCCCACATCCGCTTCCGCACCGCGTGGCTCAAGCAGGGCCACACCCTGGATGAGATCCCGTTCCGTGCCCTCGGTGGCGTCTACGGCTCCTACATCGGCCTCGGCCTCAACATCCTCTGCCTCATCGCTCAGGTAAGAAGACCCCTCCCCCCCTACCCACGCGCGCTTCCTCTTCCCATACTAACCCTCCTCTCCTCTCAGCTCTACGTCTCCATCTGCCCCGTTAAGGGCGGCTTCAACGACGCCGAGGGCTTCTTCAAGTCGTACCTGGCCATGCCCGTCGTCATTGTCTTCTGGATCGGCGGCTTCCTGTGGAAGCGCACTGGCTGGTTGCGCACCGACCAGATCGACCTTGATACCGGCCGTCGTGAGCTCGACTGGGATGCCATCCACGCCGACCGCGCGAAGGTGGCTGCCATGCCGGCGTGGAAGAGGACGTTTTACAAGTTGTTTGTTTAGAAGAATCTTTTTGTTGCTGTGAGGGGTCGGCGCGGGTGGATCTTTTTGTTTTGTTGCTCGTTCGTGTATATGGGAACGCAAATCTGGCGGCTACGGTGGCTATTTTTGTGGCCCTAGCAGTACCTAGCTAATTTCGAGCCGGTACATGCGCCTTTTGT